CACATACTTACACACTTGCCTCCAAACCCAGAACACAAAACAATTTACAAAAGAAAACCAAATGGTACAAAGAACCCAAGACCTTTTTTTCCTTTTTTTTTTCATTAGTGAAAAACCAAAGCAACCTTTTACTCGACGCCACAAATCAAGCAATACTCTTTTTTTGTGATTTTCTGCAGAAAGTAGGACTTTTTTTTTGGTTTGAACAAATAATTAAGCTACAGAGTTAAGGACTTATGTAACATCCAGTACAAAATATGCAAACTATTCTTTTTTTTTTGTAGGAGACCCTTTTTTTTCAAGGCAACATGACAGTATAAAAGATTGTACAGCAACAAAAATTAAAGAAAGTGGTTTTTCCGCAAGCGAAAAAAAAAACCATTCAGCTGGTAATATTTCCATGGAAGTATGTTGTATCTTCTTTTTTCTTCACTGGGATTGGTTAATACTGCCAACCTATATATTTGAAATAAAACTGTCACATAAACTGTATAAGTACAAGTATGACATGACAAGAAATATATATGTGCAAATGTACTAGCTAGTGTTTTTTTGCGTCAGGAAGGAAGAGATGCAGGTTGCAACGTGACAAGGGGAGCTTACCACAGTGCAGATGCGTGCAGAGCTAGCTTCCACTACCTGGCATAAGGTATCCACACGTCTCTCTGAAAAATCGGTAGTTGTACGCATTTAGCCTGTGACACAAATTAAACCGAGCTTACCTGTGGAAATCAACATGAATGGACATATACTTACCCTCCCTGTTGAGAAGTCCCAGACTTCGTCTTCTTCAGATGGGAAACCACGCTTGGGGTTGGGGAGGACCTCAATTTCCTTTTCTTCGTCTGGAAACATGTCTTCATGTGCGAAACGAAGAACGAGACGCTTGGGGAGGATCTCAATTGCGTGCTTCACTGCTTCATCAACCTTGTCGGTGTCCACATCAAGGCCACAACATACACGGGTTGTGACTTTCTGAAGCTCTGGGAGATTCCCCAAGCTACCAAAGTCAAAGTGAAGGTTTTCATACTTACTCCACACTGTGACGCTGAACTGGAGCCATTTAAGGCGTGGCATATCTCCTTCTGCAAACTGGCCGAGCGTTGCGTCTGTCTTGAAAAACCTCAGCTTCGGGAATGCACCTGCACTCCCCATGGCACCATGGTGGCGAACGTCGACCATGTACAACCTGAGGGTAACAAGCTCTGGAAGTAGTCCAAAGATCTTCAGATCTGAACTCTCCACATGTATTGATAGATGGGTGAGGTTCAGAAGAAGTGAGGAACTAATCTTTGCTAACAGCCCAGATTTTCTGCATGACATGCGTAGAACACGGAGTTGCGGAGGGGGCACATAACCTTCCAACCAGCTGTTGCCACTGACAGAAATCGCTAAGTCCATTCTAAAAATATCTATGACTTGGATTTTCTGCAGTTTGGCCAATGACTCCGCACAAGCTCTTATTGAGCTAGCACTATCTAAGCATAAAACCCGACTAATGCGGAGCTTCCTCAATTCTGTCAGCTTGCTGAGGTCATTCACAAATAAGCTTGAGAACTCTTTGTCTTCAACCCTTGTCAGACACAACTCTTCCAGGGATGTCAGGCTCCCGATCCAATCTAACACTTTTATGTCGGTTCCCTCAATGTTCAGGCACTTGAGTTGACTTAGTAGACCAATACTGCATGGCAGTTCAGTTAAGTCGCCATTACCACTCAGGTCCAGCACCTGCAACAACTTCAGATCTCCTATTTCTTCAGGGAGCACACAAACGTGCATATTCTGCAGCCCGAGATACCTCAAGTGAACTAACTTTCCAAGATACCCAAGATAGATAGGGCCACGGCGGGACATGACGCCTTCTAAATCTAGGACACGTAAGACTTTAAAACATGAAAGCAGTGGCAACTGATCACTAATGCACATGGCAACAAATGACCTTACTTGTGGCATATGTGTGCTGTCCAGACTTTGGACTCTCTGTCCAACTGCTAACCTGCGAGCATTACTATGTGAAGACGTGTATTGCTCGTTGCTACTCAATATAGTAACAAAGTTTTCTTCCCTTGAAAGTAGACAGATCATATCAAGCACCATATCATGGACTCGACAACCAAATATGATGCCCTGATACGGGGTCTCTACCGGCAGTATCATGCTTCTGTTTACCAACTCAGTGAAGTATCTCTCGCCAATCTCATATAATCCCGCCCCTGTTTCCTCATGGACAAAACCTTCGGTTACCCACTTCCATATCAAAGTATTTTTCTTGATAAAGTGGTCTTCTGGGTATATGCTCATGTACAGTAAACATGTCCTTAAGTGGCTAGGCAGATCATAATAGCTAAACAGAAGTATTTTTCTCGTGTTCTCAATATCTTTCTTATCTTCGTGCCCAAAACCAATTGAGTTGTATACCTTAGACCAAAAATCCATTGGTTTATTGACAAGCAGACTAGCCATGGTGATTATAGCTAACTGTACACCACCACATTTATGTAAAATTTTACCGTTTGCCATTGTTGGCAGATCATGAGGGCATTTGTTTTTACCACCAAATAATCTTTGTCTGGAATAACTCCTCAGATAAATCATGAGAAAGTGGTTCTAGCCTGTATACTTCACCAGCCTTTTTCGCGACATCGAGAATACGAGTAGTTGCAATTATCCTGCTTGCACAATTATTATCCACTAGAGCGCACGTGACTGTTTTCCATATTTCCGTATCCCATATATCATCAATAACGATGAAGTACCTGCCACATTCATAGCGCAAGAGCCATATAATAAATTAGTGAAGTTATTTAGTAAGGCACACAAGTAACAAGATATTAAAAAAACGAGATCATGTATGAAAAGATCCTCCTTAAAGAATACTATCAAGTTTGCATTATGGAATAAAAACCAGAAAAGATAGACATGCATACATGCTTGCACGAGTTTGATTTCATTTCCTTGCCTAGAAGTCTAGTTCTGATTAAGTTTCCCGATATATGTAACATCGTCTAGAACTCGATTGTTGAATTTACATTTATTGTAAGAACTTATAAAATATTTGAATGTTGGAGAACATTGGACAGTCACTCGTGACCCAAATGATAGCAAAGAACGTAGGAAAACATGATAACACAAACTTGATGTGTACCAGTCTAACACATCTCAAACAAAATTAACTGCTCATCCCTAACTCTTTCTTGGCGACGTTTGATGCTATTTTTTTTCATTTATTTGATGTATATGAAACTTGATGTGTACTACTTGTTCTCGAGTAATGCTCGTAGTTTTCCTTACATGTGATCCTAAAGTTAGATGGTACATCTTAGAAAACATTTTTTAACTTACATGGAGCTAATCTCTTTCATTTTTCTTTATGCATATGAAAAGGGATAATAGGATGCATGCGTACCTCTTGCTCTCGAGAAATTCTCGAAGTTTATCAATCAACAGCCTTTCATCCAATGCCGATAAATTGGAATTTTGGCACATTTGATTGTCAATTCCACAGAGAATGTCCATAAGAAGTTTCTTCAGGCTAGGGTTCCTTCCAACTGGGACAAAAGCACTGCAATCATACTGCCCTCTGAGCTTATCATACACTGCTTTGGCAAGAGTAGTTTTGCCAAGCCCCCCGAATCCGAAAATAGAGAGTATCTTGAGTTTCTTGGACACATCATTATCCCCATCTGACAGCATATCGGTTAGCTTGCTGAAGGCCCCATCAATTCCAACAAGCTCTTCCTGATCTTTGTACAGAGCCAATAGGCGAGGGTCAACCGTGGATGTGGTAACTGGAACCACATCATTCACCCTGTACCTATCACGCCAGTCAGCCGCCTCTTTGACACGGACCTTGATTGCCCTGATCTCATCGGAGATCTCATGGCGAGTCCTGCTCTTGGTGAACAAGTTTCCCATCTTCTTCATGAGCTTCTTGATTTTGCGTGGCTTGATGGCAGGTTCAGCTCCCTCGACGCGTACCAGGAACTTATCGACGATGTCCTCCATTATGAACGACAAGTCCCGACTTTGTCGGCCCAGAGCTTAACCAGCTCGTCGAGCTGGTCCCGCGGGACGTCCCCAGCCTTGCGGAGGGCTGCGTACATGTTTGTTAGCTCTCTCTTGAGATACTCAACATCTTCCTTGACGCCCGTTTGCATCTTGTACTCCTCCGCGAGGAGGTCGCCAAGCTTGAGGAGCAGGCTGCCATGGCCCCCGTTGCGAGGTCCATGGTCGCTCTCAGTAGATCGTTGCTCGATTTGTTTGTGCACAATAATGCTTTGTGTGTGTGTGTGTGGGTGGGGTGAGTTATGTCCACACACGCTCGTCTTTATAGTTGTTTCTAAGTGAAACTGAGATCAAAGAAACTTGTCCTCAGTTCTCATATATTTTGCTCAGTTTTTGCCTCGGGAGCCCTACAGCTAGCATGCATCAAGTGCACATGGTATAACATGCATTGGTTCTGCTAATCGCGTGGATCTAGACTTTGACCATGCTAAATGCACATGGTACAACGTGCATTGGTACAACTAATTGCGTGGGTCTAAGCTTTGACAGTGTTAACTGCACATGATACTGCGTGCTGTCAATCAAGGCTTAACGGTTGTCTTAATTCAATCAACTCACCCATTTAAAAAATTAGAACTAGTACCCCATAATGTTTATATATATTGAGTACCGAAGAACTACCATTACATTTCTTTTGCAAAACTCTCTTGTATGATATATCCTTTAAATATTCTGTAGACATATTACAATCGAAATTGTAAAAAAGAAAAATCTGTACTAGCTCAGCATACTTATGCATATACATGTACGAGTAAGCGACCAAGACCCCCTGTTAACGTTGGTCTTTGAAACAAATAAACCATTATTGCACTACTTAACTACATATATACAAGTTCATCCGCAAAAAGAAACTACATGTATACAAGTTGTTAGTTTTTTCCCTGTCGAAGATGCCAACCGGCTGTACACATATCTTCAATTTAATTGCATATATATGCTAGTCAACTTCATCATCAATGCGTTCACGGCACCGCTTTGAACGGGAAGGGGAAGCGAAGCTTCCTTGTGGTCAACCTGGCAATCAGGCACTGTCCTCCTGTAATTCACTCTGTTCCATATATGTAATTCATGCCATCTGGAGAGGTAAGCATGCCCTTTTAGCAGCACCGAAACAAGGTTCATCTATCATATATATATCACAAAATTCAAGTATAGCTTCAACTTTCAACTAATGCATGTGTCGTGAAACAGAACGAGGAGTGGTGATGAAATAGTACTCTGACTAACTCAAAATCTACTTGCACAACTACTTTGCACAACATGATTTTGTATCTTTATTTCTGAAACTCTGAATTTGGATTTGACATTTTAGGACATGATGTTGTAGATGCACATTTTTGTTGCAATGTTATAAAAAACAGTCCACCTTTTGCATGATCGGACCTAAAGGGCAGATTTTGTACTTATGTCCATTGAACATACACAGTATTATTTGTGCTTTACAAAAGTAATTTAGCTGTGAAATGTAAGCAACGACAACAGCAGTGATTAAGATGCTGCACCAAGGCGCAATTAAGCTCCACCACCAGTTTGAACATGATCTCTGTGCATGTTAGCAAGGACAGCGTCAGTGATTAAGATGCTGCACTTAATTATGTCCCATACCTTTGTCACCCAGCTCATCTCCGTTCTAGTTTAAGCGCATCTACGAGATATGAACTGTACATGATGGATGATTCCCTAGTTTAAATTGTCGGTGTATTTTAGTAACCTAATCTAGTCAATACAACCCAACGGCACCCCAGCCGAGTCTAGTGAGCAGCTCGCCCCGTCGGCTGTCGAAGGGTCACCGTCTAAACCGCCCAAGACATGTTCAACCATAGTTCTTTTTTTGCACTTCTAAATCAAGACACCTCTCTCAGATCTGAATGTATGCAGTGCTAAGCCTTCCTTGTTTTCCCTCGAAAAAAGAGGTTCCTTGAACTCCCAGCTCTCATTTGATCGATGCACAAGGTCATATATTAACTGAGAATTTCTAAGACGGCATGCAACCAAAACCGCTGGCTCTTCACAAACGGGTTTCTGGCTTCGCAACTGAAATGTCAGATCTTCAAAAACTATACAGCTGCTGTACAATTTTCACCATTGGCGCTGAAGATTGGAAATTCAGAAGAGGTGCATCGGGTGTTTTGTCAGGAAATTTACAGCTAGAAACCAGGGATCATCTCTTCTTCTGATGATCATTTGCTGCAAGTTGCTGGCAGTAAATTTCCATGCACTCGATCTATCCAGGGAGGGCATCAGTTCAAGATTACCTTCCAGTCCATTAGAGAGCAGCTGGGCCTGGGCTGGGCAACTTATTCATTGAGGTGGCTGGCTATTCTGCTGATAAGTTGGCTAAGACTCCCTCTACAGATGCAGGGCAAATCTTAAAATCAGAGCTTGCCATGGTTAGTTATGCACGGTGCAAGAAAGAAATCATACCATGAATTCAAAGCATGGGTTGAAGGCTACATTTGCATACTACTCTCAATTTTTATCATTTGGCATTTTACTTCAGTTACAGGCATTTGAAAATTTATGGACATGCAGTAGGATAGTTACTGTTTTCCCTTGAAAATGTTCAGAAGAGTGCCTTTTTTCCTGGAAATTCAAAAGAGTATGTTTCCTTCAGCTGCTCCTATGCACACTCTGGACATTCCCGTCTGAATGAAACTCAGGGAGGAAGAGGCAACCACAACATGCAGTTTGTGCCCCCACCCCCGACCCTTCTATACCTCTATACCTACTAATAAAGCAAGGTGGTATTCTTGGTTTCGTCCCACCTACGTGATTTTGTTATTTGGACTTTTTTTAATCTAATGAGGTGGTACTATTCACGTGAATTTCTGGCCGTGTTTTCATGCGATGGGAGAACATAGTCGGAAGGTGCAACGGCCCAACTGGCTGGGCCTCGACCTTCCTTTGATGGGCCTGCTCCTGCCACTTTCATGAAAAAAGGTAAAAAATATATATTTTAACTGGGTATCGAACCCCTAACCTCTGGGTTGGGCCACGAAGGCTATAGCCAGCCGGCCTATAATCGGATTGCAGTAAAGAACTGATTCAATCAATATTAGTCCTATCTCGCTCCTTTAGATCAAATTTCACCAACTTATATACACACGTGAGTTGTAGTAGATTCAACTTATATCAGCAAGTCATCTCCAAAACCAAGAAAGAGAGGAAACAGCATACCAAAAGGAGAGAAAACTCCATAATGAAGGGCATATGGACGATGCAACCATGTTGTATTGGCTCTAATTAGAAGGATTTATGGGCTTGGCATGGTGTGATTGGCTCTAATTAAATTAAATGAGAAAAAGATACATGCATGGCTCTAATTAAAGGAAATGATGACATGATAAAAGCGTACATGCATGACCCGTATGCCGCGTTGATGGGCATTTTGGTGAATGGCGAAACTAGCCTTTTTCTCAAATCAATGCATCAATTTTCTTCCCCGTTGCAACGCACGGGCTTTTGTGCTAGTCAAATAAAAAGAGGCAACAACTTTTCAGATGTATTTTTAATAGAGAAAATTGAAACTA